CACATTATATCCAGAGCATAGTAGCAAATCACATTATATCAAGGGTCTGCTCTCTCCTCAATGTCAAGCTTTTCCATTCTTGCTGAGGTCTCAAGGTTGTCTGCATATGAAAGTGGATACAGCACTCGACTACATTCACTTTCCCAAGTTGTAAACTTAGGTACCCATTTACAGTTGGGTGAACTGGGTGAACAATTGGCCCTTGGAACAAGAAGTGAGTGCTCTATCCACTCAACCGCCATGCTCCATACCTGCATGTAAAGCTCACTAAATGACAGTAATGTCCTGAAGTCTTGCACTGTACCTCTTAGGTACTCACCTTTCCTCACTCACTGCACATTTCATTTAAGTATTGCCAGCACCCTTCTTAAAGACAGCACACGTTCTTTACCCTTGCCACTACCTGTATTAGATGCCAGGCCATAGGTGAATATTGCTTCAGTTGACTTCTTTCCTGGCATGAACCTAAGCGGCATTTTATTATTTTCTCTCTTTTTTTTACAATATTGATAACCTGGTCTAACAGTTTCAGGCCTCTGTAGGTTTTTTGTTAAGATGAATGACCCTTTCCTTGTAAATATGCACAATCATGCTTATCAAACAGTTAACTGGAACAGGATGTTCAATCCATCATAATTGCTCTCAACTTCTGGTAATTAACCCATTAATATTATGCCTTTTCTAAGGGCTACAGTAAAGTTAGGAGAAATACTATTTCTAGTTTTCCAATTGTTTTACAAGTTTTCTGTAATGTAGTTAGTCACACAAGTGGAAGGGTCCTTGGGAATCATCAAACCCACAATACAGGTTGGGCATCCCTTATCCGAAATTCCCAAATCTGAAATGCTCTGAAATCTAAAAGTTTTTTCAAGCAATAACCCATTTTAGGATAATTTGACCTTTAGGGTGAAATTTAGGGTAAACAAAAATTTATCAAAATCTATGGTAATGAAGGTTTTCTTGGGTACTGTAAGTCCTCGTTTAACGTTGACCCTGACAATGTTGTTTCATTATAACGTCGCTACTCTTTAGATACCCATGATTCCGACAACGTCTGGACCGATTCGTTATAACGTCGTCACCCAACACGAACCACTTTGTATGGCGCATCACCCTCTCTCATCTTGGCTCGCTACGCTCTTTCACTGAGTGCCACAGTGTCCCCAAGCTTCCCCAGTCTTTGTTAGGCTAACACAGCATACATGTGTGCTTAAATGTTTTTGCTCTAAATACTGTACTGTAACCGTTTTAAATGGCTTCCAAGCGCCCATCAAGTGCTATTGATGCTAGTGTTGTGAAGAAGCAATGCAAGACCATTACCCTTGCTACGAAAATGGAGGTTTTAAACCTCCGGGTCTCAGTGACTCGCCACCCTTCTCCTCTCCGCTACCCACCACGCACTCGCTCCACCTGTGCCCATCAATGAGTACAGTACAAAATGATTTAGTTTATCTTTTTGGATGTATAATATATACTATTTAATATAAAAATTCCATTGAATTGATATATAAGTACAGGTGCTCCCCGACTTACGACGGGGTTAGGGACCCAAATCCAGGTCGTAAGTCCGAATGGTCGTAAGTCCGACATAGATAAAAAAAAAAATCCATTTAAAAAAAAAAATCTACAATGAAATACAGTACAGTAAAAGTAATAAATAATGAGGAATGAATACAGTGTGACTGAGCACTTACCTTTAACGTAGTCAGCTAAATGCACACGGGGCCCCCATAATTTTCTAATTATACATGGAGACTACATTAACTGGAACGTTTTGGTATAGAAAATGTGCGCGTCATTTGGAGAAAAAAAATTTGATCACGGCTGCAACGGTCATGTGTCCCAACGGTCATAAGGTCAGAGCAGGTCGTAAGTACCGATGGACGTAAGTTGAGGCAGTCGTAAGTCGGGGACTACCTGTAATGTATTTTATGGGGTAAAGGGAGGCTGGGGAAAGTAATTAGCGTATTTTATCTATTTCTTATGGGGAAAATTTATTCCGTTAACATTGTGTTTTTCAAGAACGTGACCAATACGTTCAACGAGGACTTACTATACTGTATTTTACTCACATTTTAAGGTACAGTGGTCCCTCGGATAACGAACACAATTCGTTCCAGAAGGTCGTTCGTTAACCAAAAATTTTGTTAACCGAAACCATTGTTTCAATGGGATTTGGGTAATTGGTTCCAGCTCACCAAAAATGACATACAAACTAAAAATAAATGCAGTAAAGTACACTTACTTTGAGGTGTGAATGTAGAAGGCTCCTGATTGATGATGATGATGATTGGAATTAGAAGTGGGGATGGAGGAGAAGGGGGAAGAGAAGCAAGTGGGGATGGAAGCAGGGCTGTGGAGTCGAAGACAAAACCTTCAACTCCGACTCCTTGGCTTATTTGTAACAACTATTTCTACCATCCTAATTGTAATTTGTATGTTGTAACCTGCGTAGGTAAAAAGTAAAACACCGTGGCTATACTGCTACAGCTTTATTAATGATCTGGACGATTTTTAAGAACTACAAAAAGATGATAGGCTTGACTTTCAAAGTTTCAATCAAAAGAAAAATAAATTTATTAAGAATTCAAGATATTAACTAGAAAACACCATTTACATGTATATCTAAAAGTTCGATCTCAGCATATGAATTTTGTTTAAGCTCAAAATCTGATGTGGATCTAAATGATGATCCTACAATTCCTTTTAAAGTAAAGTTATATATTTATGTACATTAAAGAAATGAATACCTTATTAAGGAAAATGGATAAACCTTACATGATTAAGTTATTAAATTAAATTTGCCTTAATCTCACCAAAAACAGGTTGTAGCTAATTGTTTTGTAGCTGAGAGCCTCTGTGCAGTTTTTAACGAAACAAAATTTGATATAATTCAAAATTTCAAATGGTAAAGAAGAGACTATCGTCCAAAATTATAGTGCTATACTGTGCCTGCTACAATAAATTCATAATAATGCTTCTAAAATGGAAATAAATTCTTTTAATAATTTAAGAAAATTAGTGGGATCAGTGGAATCACTGCAATGAATATGCCTGAGTTCATATATTTGTTCTTAGGAACAGAATAGCTTCAGTCGGAGTCGGAGTCTGGACAATTTTACCGACTCCGACTCCGACTCCACAAGCCGAAATTTCCTCCGACTCCTCGACTCCGACTCCGACTCCACAGCCCTGGATGGAAGAGAAATCACCCCATGCTTCATGCTGCCATTTCACCCATAAAATTTTAAGTTCACTAGGTGTAATTCAAGATTAATTTCTTTAAATCAACACTGCACTGCACTATACTGTATATTGTCAATATGTAAAATAAATTTCAGAATGACCAATAATTGTACTGTAAAAACGTAAAAATAGTTTATGTTCAAGAGAGTCTCAAGCAAGATGCTACCTCCACTGAGCAGAGACACAAACTGACGCCATTCTCGGTGAGTCAAGTGGCTGTTTGGCACGCTAAAAACTAGTTCCCTGTACTTCAATTATGTTAAATAATTGTTAAAATGACAAAAAAATTTAATATAAAACTTGGAAAATTATTGAATAGTACAACCTTCTTGATATTTACTCATATGGTAACGAATTTAAACCCTAGAACCTATTACTGTATTGGCGGACTAATATTCCAGCTGGTGAGCAGGCGAAAACATCTTGAGAGTAATTCGTAAGGAATTCATTAACCAAATTTTTTTCATTAACCGAGTTGAAGATTCTTATGGAAGGTAATTCGTTAACCGAAATTTCGTTAACCGAGGCGTTCGTTAACCGAGGGTTCACTGTATTTACTTTGTAGTAGTAAATAAATGAATGTTACAGTAATTTGATGTTGGACTAACTGGCCATGTCTTAATTTCTTTAATAATTCCACTCTGCTTCTGTACAGCCTTGGAAAGTCTTCCATTACGTTACTAAGCTGTACTCGCCCTTTTAAGGAAATCTCCTTAGACTGGTATTTATGATACTTTTAAATTACACTACACTATACCGTCATTAATTCGACAAAAAAAGAGGTTCAGCATCACTCAAATTACCCAAAAATCCGGTGCCTTAGAGATGGTGAGTGCTGGCAACATTGTTAGGGAGAGTGGGTCAGCTGAACCGATCACCACTCTGTAAACAAGAAACCAGGAATATACTACGGTGCAACAGCTCATCTGAGATTGACTGTGTGATTTTTGGGGGAAAATTAATTATTAAAAAAATATATATATTAACTCTGCACCAAATGAAGCTAAATAATATGGGAATTATGGTGAAATTGCATACTGTCGTTATAAAAGGGATTGCAGGCTCTCCTTCTTGAAGGAGGCTGTGTATAAAATTATTAATGGATTATTGGCAAAGACTGCAAAGAACACATAGTGACAAAATTTACCTCATTTAAGATAAGTAATAATATTTTTGAGTAATTTGATAATTTTTAGGGCATTTCAAAATAAAATTTAAGGTAAGTTTGTATGTGTAATGAATAAAGGTAAGACACAGGCTGCTTGGCACTCTAGAATCAGGCTTCACGACTATCCCAAACATATGGTAGTTATTGCTTACCTTTCAGATTCGTCAGTGTGCATCTCATCATATATTTCATACACAAAATTATTAAAAATATTTCATAAAATTGCCTGAAGGCTGTATGCATCCATCTGCTGTAAATGAAATATTAATGCATTTTGTACATAGACTTGGGTCCCATCCTCGCATGGTGAGTTACTGCATTATACAGATATACAGGATATACTGTAGGTATTCCAAAATCCGAAAATAACTTAAATCCGAGACCCTTTCAGCTCAAGGCATTTTGAATAAGAAATACCCAACCTATAATACTGATGCAGTTTGTCATCTGATCCATGCTTGGTTACAAAATAGATTTTCAGGATTAATCTTGCTGTTTAAGTTTATTTTCTCTTATATTACATTTAGGAAATGTACATTTAGGAAATGTTCTTATACCATACTTGATAAAATAACTCTTATTTCAGTAACAGTAAATGGTTTGCATATGTGGTATTCTACTCTACTTGGGACTTTGAAAAGGCACTTCAGAGCGATGGCAAGATTAAAATTGGAGAGACAGAAATCAGAATATGGAAAAAAGCAAGAAACAAGCCCCACCAAAAATTTCTGCTTCCTCTTCACAAAGCCCAAGAGTTGCTCACCCATTATTTTGGATTTAACTGTTGGACATCAAAAGTTATATATGTAAGTGTTTCTAATTCTTTCACTTAAAAATTGTGGGAGACCCACAACATTACTTGTCTAAACTGGATAGAAGAGGTCAAAAGGGTCTTTGGTTTTGGCAAAATTTCTCTTATTGAATGTCAATGATTTTTACAAGGTACTGTTTAACCTCTGTATGAACAGCCTTTCCAAGCACTATTTGTATGTTCATAGTTTTGGAAAGGTAATCTCAGCCCATCTGCTTCTAGGTAGAGTAAAACCTTTCTAAGTCAGACTACAGCATATGGTGCTCGAGACTGTCCGACCTATCTAGAATTCTACACTGCACTTAGTTTATTGTGGCGAATAAATCTTGAGGTGGAAGACGATGGGGTTGCCTACACTTACAGTACAGTACTGTATATATATATTCACACTCATATTTAATAACACTTTATATTTAGTTAACCTTATATTTAAGTAAACTTATATATAGTTACAAATATATTTACTATGCCCTTAAATCTCACTGATGGTGTGAAAAGTACTCTGCTTTAGCCCAAATTCCTCACAGACAATGTTCATGGAGACCCCAGCATTGATTCTGCCACATATCTTCAGTTTCTCTTCATTTAGTAAAGTTCTAAGCACCATTCCTCTTCTGGTGGTCTTCTGTGATGTTGTTTACCTTTGCTTGCTTTAGATGCCATAATAATACACTAGGGAAGCACTAAATACTGACAAAATACAGAGTGAGCAGCAGACCATTGGTCTCAACAAGAAATGTGCAGGAACTGACGCTTCACCCAGTTGCCACTTAATGACACTGTCAGGTGATCCCCCACCTCCAAAACTGTTGCCTCATCTGACTTATGGGCATCTCTGACATACAGAAGTTCAACTTAGAGAGATCATAATACAGCACTCCTTTTTTTATACATCTTGATTTCAAGGAAATATATCTCTTGGTGTCATCACTAATCAAAATGTAAGTAACCTTTACATACGGTATTTTATTATTAGTACAGTATTAGTATAGGTGCTCCTCTACTTACAGATGAGCTACATTCCTGAGGATTGTTTGTAAGTCCAACCTTAGTCCTGAAGAGTAAACCCTTGATAACTCGGCATTCATTATCTCGGAATTTCATATAATTCGGCACGTATATGGTCTGGGAAATTACTATAAAATAACTCATAAAATGCAGAGCTATATAAGATTATGTGGGAAAATCTCAGCACATTTGGGGGCATGCTATCACTCGCCACGCTGCGCTCCACACTTGATTAGTCTGGTGTTTGTTGTTGTGGTCGGGTGCTGCTGGCTCACTCCATCCAGTACATGGACATGGGAAGGGAGAGTGATGTAGCACCCCAATATTTTGGATATAAGGTAGTATACATTGCACCACAGAGCATCTAGGGCACCAGAATTAACCCTTTTGCCCTGTACTAGGGTGTCACTGGCTGTCCTCCCCCCCACGCAGTGGTAAATAAAAAAAAATCATCTTTTCCAAAAATAATTTTTTTAACCATTTTAAATGCTAAAACAATAAAAAAGAAGTAAGAAAAACTATACAGTCAACCCTCGCTTTACGCGGTCCCACATTCCGCATTTCCACGTTTATGCGGTACCCTGCCGAAACCGGAATGCTCACATTTCGCGGTGCGTGTACCCCTTTACGCGGAGAGTGGCTGGCGAGCTGCGCCATTTTTGGATCCAAACCTCCCGCCATCCGCCATGTTGTGTAAGCGACGCGAGCAGGGTGCGCACAAGGTCGCCCAGTCATCAAAACATTACCGAGTTCTTCACCCGCCACCCACCACAGCCGGCCCAAGTCAGTGATAATGATAATTATAGTGAGGATATGGACTTATATGGACTTTGAGGGGTTTGACAAAGAGGCCCTGCAAGCCTCTGTGGTGGATAGTGATACAATTGATACAAGTGATACAGGTGAGGGCCAATAATCTGCCCTCTGCCTCGGAACCAACCCCCCCGTCCCCATGTGCCCAGCCATCTTTTTTACTAATGTAAGTGTTAAAAAACCTAATATTATTGATATTTCTCTTAATTATTAATTGTGTGTGCATACCATCATAAAATTAAGAATTTATTTTTACTACAACGTAGGTATTGTGTCTGAAAAAGTGGAGTTTGGGGGTCGGCCCGGTCTCTATTTCAATTAATCCCATATGTTATGTTGTTCACTTTACGCGTTTCTCACTTTCCGCGGTACCCTGTGGGTTGAATTAACCGCGTAAAGTGAGGGTTCACTGTATATTGACCCTCTAGAGACTTCCCTGTGGCAGCAGTGGCGAGGGAGATAAGGGGACAATGTTGTTTTGACAGCTGTCGCTCGTGGTCTCTACGCACTTAGCGACCATTTTCTGCTTGCCTTTGAATCCGGAATGGCCAATAATGCATATATTTTCTGATCACAATACTTATTTCCTATAAATAATTAATTTAGAATATTTTATTTGCATTATTTTTCATAAAAAGTGATCGGAAAGACACACGCAGTCTGTCGCCAGGCTATCTGGCTGTCTTTGTGTTTGGTAGAGCAGGCAATGCATCAATTGGTTATCGGAATAATAGATCCACAAATAAATACATTTATAACATAATCATAGCATTATTTTCCAGTAATACTACACTACAATACAACTACAGTAATATCTCCGTCAGCTGGAATCCCTCAAACGTGGAAATCTCTAATAGCCGGAATTGAAATTTGCTCAGAAAATCACTCCCAAAGCCAGATTTTTCCAAAAATTTCCGGCTTTAGGAACAAATTTTCTGAGGTTGAAAATCTAGAGAATTTTCTGAAAATGCGTTGAATATAGATGAAAGTTAAAGTATTTTTTTTTTTTTTTGAGAGGGGGGACCTGACCTGACTCAATGTTAGGTGGAGGTAGGGTGGGGGATTAGTGGTCTCATATTACTGACCTTCTGATGGAATGTCAGGTCACCCTTTCTTGGGTGGGGGATTAGTGGGTCTTCTGACCTGAAGATGTCTTGAATAAACATGAAACCTAAAGTATTTTTAGGGAGATTGTGGTAAGTTTAAGTGTAAATGAGCAAATTTGTATCCCTTCAGCATTGCATGACATAACATATTAAATATAGAGTGAGAAAGCAGAAAGGTGTGTGTGATTAGAGAGATGGAGTGGAAAGGAGTAGTAACATGCACCAGTGATGCTGAGTGATAAGTTCCTCAACAGCTGATCCTTTAATTCATCTCCATACAGTCACACAACAAGACCCTTAGTGGATGCTTGTTGTCTTAATTCCCCTGTGTGTGTGTGTGTGTGTGTGTGTGTGTGTGTGTGTGCGCGTGTGTGTGTGCGCGTGTGTGTGTGCGCGTGTGTGTGCATGTGTGTATGCGTGTGTGTGCGTGTGCGTGTGTGCGTGCGTGTGCGTGCGCGTGCATGTGTGTGCGTGCGCGTGCGAGCGCTTGCCAAGCACGTTGTAGGATTTGAAGAAGTTGATGAAGAGTTTGTTCAGGAGTCAGGTGGTGAGGTGACATGCCAAGACACTTACACAGCACACACATTAACAACACTACTAAACCATTGTCTTATAACATTTTACATTACAGTACCGTATATCTCGGCTTATAAGACGGAATTTGAACATTAAAAAAATCTGCCCAAAGTTAGGGGGTCGTCTTAATCACCAGGTATAAAATTCTTACCTCTTAAATATTGTGGTTTAGCGTGTCAAGAGTGGTGATGGAAACATCGTAAGCCACTCACAAGGTCCTACCACTAATTATTTTATACTGAAACTTACGTTTGGCAAGCTGGATTCAAATTAAGATTACCGGTATATTAAAATAATAAAAATGTATTATAAACCTGTCTAACATACCGTAAAAGAGAATTATACCCCTGTAATAAACACAGCTATCATCACACACCCCTCCCCACGCCCCCCCCATTTGCCAGTGAGGAGACAAGAAAGGGAAAGTGACCGCGAGATTGGGCTATTTTTAGCCGTGGAGGTGGTCAGTAATGCATATCGGTATATTTACTGATAATAATACTTATCTCCTATAAATAATTAATTTAAAATTTATTTTTTTACAAGGAATATTCAGTAAATGACTGCATTAATTCTTGAAACTACCGACAGTTAAATACAGACGCTTAAGTGACGTCACTAGTGTTTACACTACACCAGCTGGTAACATTTGATGCCATTACTTGAAGTGAATTGGCCTTATTTTAAGTAACTAACCATAAATAAATACAAAAATTAAAAAAAAAGATCAAAAGTGAGAAATAATATACTGTATGTATGTTGTGTTGTCAAAGTAAGAGGAACAATTGAAACTGCAATTGTGTGTAAATGAGGCAGAAAGTCAGGTCAGCAACCTGGGACTTGGTCACAATTTTCGTGATGCCATATAGCAGCAGGGTCTACTATTAGACAACACATTATGCTTCCAATATCTTCCCAGGCGGTAGTATCTACCTGTTTGGTAGCTGCCTACTACCTACACAATTTTTAGTAATATTACTTTGATACATGATAAATTAGACAAACAATGAAAATAAACATCAAATTTAATTACCAAGACGCTTCCCATTGGCAGCTGTAAGAAGAGGGGGAGATGGGCTATTTTTATCCCGTCTTTGTGTCTGAAGTGGCCAGTAATACCATATATTTACTGATCATAATACTTATCTCCTATAAATAATTAATTTAAAATTTATTTTTTACATAGAATATTCAGTAAATGACTTTTAAATAAATAATCAAATAATTCGGTAAATCTATTTCAAGTAAATGGAAAATAAGCAAACAAATGTTATTTACCAAGACCCTTCCCTCTGGCTCAGGGTGAGATGGAGGGGAGATAAAGAAGGCTATTTATAGCCCGTCTTTGTGTCTGAAGTGGCCAGTACCCTAATGCACCATAAATAATTCATTTAACATTTATTTTTTGTACATAGAATATTCAGTACATGACTGCGATTATAAAATAGTGTGAATGAGTATATTAAATATATATATATATATACAGGTTGTA